TGAAGTTTCTGCTGGAAGTTAGGGTTTGGGGTTTCGGGTTTGGGGTTTGGGGTTTAGGGTTTAGGGTTTAGGGTTTGGGGTTTGGGTTTTGGGTTTTGGGGTTTAGGGTTTAGGGTTGGGGTTTGGGTTTTGGGGTTTGGAGTTTAGGGTTTAGGGTTTAGGGTTTGGGGTTTAGGGTTATTTCACCCCCAAAACAGACACGACATCCCTGGCGACCAATGATAAGCTCCGAGACCTAACTACCTCTCAAACAGCTGCAAAGCTGAGGCTTTAGATAACTCACCATGGTCACGGAACGGTATATGCCATACTGTCACCTGAAACGGGCTGAGAAGCTCTAGCAAGACCCCCCCCAAGACCCTGCAAACAACCTTCCGCAGCCCTCATGGATCCACCCCTGTCTGAACAAAAAAACCCAGAAATTCTTCGAATCCCCGCCGCCGAACTGAGCTGAATACCCGATCCCCAAACCCAGATCCCTCAACCCCAAAAGAACAAATCTCTGGATGAAAGACCCAATAAACCCTTTTGAACCCCTGAACCCGGATTCCTAAAGCCCCAAAAACCTATGAAACACCGAACCCGGAGTCCTAAAGCCCCAAAAACCCCATGAAAAACCGAACCCGGATTCCTAAAGCCCCCAAAAACCCATGAAAAAAACAGAGCCCTCAGCTGCCACCTGCGGCCATCTGCACCGAGGAAGCAGACAGAGCCTGGTCGGCGAGTTGTGGTGTCGAGGATTTAGGGTTTAGGGTTTAGGGTTTAGGGTTTAGGGTTAGGGCTTATAGTAGAAGCCAGAAAGTTGGAAGATAATTATCCTCATGCCCTTGAGGTAAAGTATAAGGGATTCTAGCACGAATCCTCCTAAAACCATGTTCCAACTTTCTGGGATTTGCTGTAGAGTTTTGGCTCGAGGGTTTAAGGCTTTTAGGTTTAGGGCTTCTTTAACAGCCAGTTCGGGGGCGGTAGGGGTCTACATTGTCGGGCTCCAAAAGTCGTCAGAGTTTAGAGTGTAGGGTTTGGGAGCACAATTTAGGCCTCACTCGTCGCCACGTATGCAACATATAAAGGGACCGTGGCGGATTTTGTTCCAGGTGGTTGTCTGACAAGGTGTAAAGTCCTGCATGTAACATGGACATGGGACTTGTAGACTTCGACGAAGCTTTTCCACATGGGCAGCCCGTGGTAATGCATAGGGTTTCGGTTAGCTCCATCTGGGTTTCGCAAGGTCAGGCGTCATGTGCCGTAGGGTGTGTGCATAGGTCTGTACAGCGTTTCGGGTTTAGGATGCTGTCTCTGGCAGGCAAGATCGTGCGCCCCACAGGGTCATAAGTACCAATTAGTGTTGTTGTGATTGATTGTTGTTGCAATTACCATTGTTGTTGCTATGAATGATGGCATTACGGTTATAGCTACATCCAAAGAAGGGGTTAACGCTTGTGCATTGACCAAAACCCAAAGCCCAAAACCCAAAACCCAACCCAAAACCCTAAACCCCTACACCCCTAAACTCCTAAAGCAGGCATCGTGGCAGACCCGAGATTCAAGGAACAGCCCTAAACCGGGGAGTAGACTGGGCTTTGAAGTAACCAGGGAAAAGTAAGTATACACTGTTATTTCTATAATGGCTTCTTTAAGGAACCGGTCCCCCCAAAAAAGTCTTAAAGTATGGTACTCCCCAAACCCTAAACCCTAAACCCTAAACCCAAAGCCCAGTAGAGGTGGAGACCCGAGGGTTTGGGATTGAGGGGGGTGCGGGTGTAGGGGTTTGGAGTCGAAAGCGAGGGCGCAGTTGAGGGCCGAGGATCGGGAATCTTAGGTGATAGGGTTTAGGGTTTAGGGTTTGGGGTTTGGGGTTTGGGGCTTGGGGGTTTAGGGTTTTAGGGTTTGGGGCTTAGGGGTTCGAAGTTAGATGAGTCAGTCTAAGATTCTCATGTATCTCCTTAAACATAATTAGAAAGCCCTCGTTCCGAGTATGCAGTCTCAACAAGCCGCGAGATTTCAAGGGAGGGCTCGTCTCAGCCTCAAGTGCATTGGCAGGTAAATGAGTGCACGACCTTCAGCACAGGTTGGCCGTGGACCGTGGCCAAAATGTACACACGAAGTGGTTTAGGGTTTAGGGTTTAGGGTTGTAACATCGGTTCGCTCGGGTTCTGGTTTGCTTCCAGCTCACCTTGCATCGAACTTGTGCAGCTAGGTGGCCACCATGCGCGAAGCATCACGCTTGGGTCTGGGTGCGCAAGGCAACCACCAAACAGAAAGGGCAAGTGCGTACTACTGGTGGACCTCATCTACTACCTTTCTAACAACCTGAACCCTGCACCCGAAATCCTCTGTGGACAGTTTGAAGGAACTTCTAGAGGAGTCCTTGATCACCGGGGGCTTGAAAAGTAAGGGTTCGGGTCTCGACATGTGAGCGCCTAGGGCCAAGGACAACGCTCAAACCAAGAGATTCACGCACCGAAGCCTGAAGACTCTCACATCGGGGCCTTGCTAATCAAACAAAAGATGCTTCTGGTACATACTATAGTATGATAGTATTCTGACTATATCGGATCTATCTAGGGATACGGCCCTCTACAGCAGACCCACCGAGCAAACCGAGCTTAAATCAAGAGCGTAAACCGCGCATGGACTCGAAGCAATCAGCCCCAGCTCCACCAAAAGCCGGAATGCTAACCCGCTACCAGTTCTGAAGAACCTGAACCCAAACCCTGAACCCCTAAACCCCGAACCCCTACACCTTGAAGCCAGTGTTGAAAGGACTGGTACCACAAAGCTAGTAGTCGATTCGCAAATGCTCAGGTGCAAGCCTCCAGCCGAGTCTCCAAGCGTCGCAGCGTGTCCGCATGCTGCCTTCTGATATCCAGGGAAAGTTCCAGGGTTTAGGGATTCCGACGTTTTTGGCCCTGAAACGCTGAGCTCTAAACTTGCGAACCTTAAGCCCTGAGACGCTTAGTGCCTTAAAGTTTAGGGTTTAGGGTTTAGGGTTTAGGGTCTGGGGTTTGGGGTTGGGGAGAGGAGCCGGGGGGGTGAAGGGGGGTTCGGGCGAGACTGCCCTTAGCTAAGGGTCAGCGGTTTAAGGCTTGGGGTTTAGAGACTATCGATGATCCAAGGCTTCCCGCTTTCGGTAGCTAAGGAAGCCTACAAAGGGACACGGATACCGGTACCCCGTAAGGTTTAGATAATTTAGATGGGCTTAACATGTGATCTTATAGGGCTTAGTGATTCTGCTCCCGGACCTCCTTCGATTCTGCGATCAGACTACTGAATCCTCAAAACTAAAACTCTAAACCCTGAAGCCCGAATGTCCTAAACGCCAAGAAACTTCCTAAAAGCCTGAAGACACATAAGTAACCCTCAATACACAAACAAATAACCTAGATACCCCAATGGTCCTGCACCCATCCTAACTGAAAGCGTTAATGGAACTGTTGAAGAAACCCTAACTAACCACCTTAAAACCCCCAAAACCCTTTCAGTACCCTCTAAATGGCTCTTTTGCCCACAACTTTCAACCCCAAACCCAAAAGGCCGTGCAAAGCCCTAAACCTTCATAGAACCCTCAAAGAAACCCGAAACTCTAAACCCTAAACCTAAGCCGGAAACTCATTAGCCCTAAACCCTAAACCTGAACTCTAAACTTGACCCTAAACCCGAAACCCTGAACCCGAAATCCGAAGCCCTAAACCCGAAACCCGAAGCCCTAAACCCGAAACCCGAACCCTACCCTATAAAACCCTAATCCCGAAGCCCCCGAAACCCGAAACCCTAAACCCAAAACCTAGACGAGCTTAAGCCTGGCCCCTAAACCCTAAACGCTAAACCCTAAACCCGAAACCCTATAAAAACCCTCTAGAAACCTTCTAAAAACCCTCTAAACACCCTCTAAAAACCCTGTAAAAAACCCTATAAAAACACCATAAAACACCATAAAACCCTGTAAAACCTTATAAAGCCCTATAAAACCCTATAAAAACTCTATAAAACCCTATAAAGACCCTGTAAAACCCTAAACCCCTAACTCTAAACGTAAGCCCGGCCTGTCCGAAGCTTGGCAGCGCTCGAGGTCGCTAGCCACTCCTGCTGTCTCCCTAAGGGTCCATGTGCCCAAATAGTATATACATTGGCCCCAAAGTACCTATATAGGGACACGGTTTAGGGTTTAGGGTTTAGGGTTTAGGGTTTAGGGTTTAGCCCGAAAGTATATACTATTTGGGTTCACGGACCCTTAGGGTCTCTGGTAAGACCCTACGTGCCCTTTGGGGTTTAGGGCTTGTAGGGTTTAGGGTTTAGGGCTTATGGGGTTTAGGGGTTAAGGGCTTATAGGGTTTAGGGCAGTTTATATAGGGTTTAGGGCAGTTTAGGGTTAAGAGCTTAGGGCTTAGAGAGTTGAGGGTTTAGGGTTTCCTTGTTCTGTTTGGTTGTTCGCTGCTTTTTCGGTGTTGGGGGTACATGATTATTGCGCACTTGTTCTGTTTGGTTTGTTTGTGCGTCAGTTACGTGTTGATACCGCAATAGTCGGGCTTCTGGGTTTAGGGTTATCAGTCAAAACCCTAAACCCGAAACTCTAAACCCTAAACCCTAAACCCTAAACCCTAAAGCCCTAAACCCTAAAGCCTAAAGGCC